AATCAATATCGGATGCTCAGGGAAAGATAAAAACTGTGCGAGGCGAAAGTTGTCCAAAGACATCGAGTGGAGACCAAAGGCACGCCTCGTTGTGGGAGGACACAAGGATCCGGATGCCCCCTACCTGGCCACCAACGCTCGTACAATCAGCCGCTTGGCCGTGTTGTCCATTCTGCAGGTTGTAGCAAGCCGACAAAAGCAAGAGGATCCCTGGATAGCCAGCGCTGGGGATGTGGCATCGGCCTTCCTCAATGGGCCTCCGTTGCAGAGACTTCTTTACCTCCAACAACCTGCTTCTGGTGTAGCTGGAATGGAGAAGGGGGCCCTTTGGAAAGTCGAGAAAGGAATTTTTGGCTTGGTGGATAGCCCCCGGGGGTGGTGGGGGGAAATCAAAGATATCTTGGCAGAAATCCGGGTCCACTGGCGAGAGACCACCTTCTTCCTCGAGCAGCTGGCGCTGGACCCGTGCGTTTTCTGTCTTAAAGATCTTGCTCATCCAGAACTTCCTCCTCAAGGATACTTAGGAATCCATGTCGACGACCTGCTTGCGGCCGGACCTAGGTCGCTATGCGACGCTCTCAAGGACTCCCTGAATGCCGCGCTGCCCGTAGACGAATGGCTCGATAATCAGTTCGAGTACCTTGGGTCCAGAGTGGTTGTGGACGAGGACGGGGTGACGGTCGACCAAGAGCTCTACACCTCCGGGCGGCTGTTCACCGTGGACATCGGCAAGGAGCAGCACGACCTGGACCCCGCCACCCGCGAGCAGTACATCGACAACATGAGCGCTATAGGCGCCTTGTCCTGGTTGGCCTCGCAGACACGACCAGACCTCCAGGCCGGCGTCTCCATGGCCCAGCAACTGCAACGGCAACCTTTGGTGGAGGACTTGCGCTTCACCAACTCTCTCGTCAAGAAAGCATGGGCTCACCGAGAGGAGAGCATGAGGCTAAAACCTGTGGACCTCACCTCCTTCGAGATCCTGGCCTACCACGATGCCGCGTGGGCCAACACCAAGCCGGCGACCGGACAAGATCCTGACTTCATGCTCTACGCCGAGGACGAGCTCGACGGCATCATGGAGGACTCTCCCTTCAAGAACAAGGAGCGAAAGGCCAAGCGGTTGGCTTCAAAGGTTGCCAGCCAGTTTGGAGTGCTGATCATGTTGGCAGACAGCGAATGCACTTTTGGAGAAGAAGGCAACGCAAGCATCCTTGAATGGCGTTCCGCCTCCATCAAGCGCGTCTGCCGCTCGACTTTTGCTGCTGAGACGATGGCGTGCTCCGAGGGACTGGAGACAGGGCAATACGTGAGGTCCTTCTTCTGTTCTCTTCTTGAAGGGCGACTTCGGCGAGTCGAAGATCTCCATGGGCAGCATCTGAGGTGCCTTTCTGACTGTAAGTCGTTGGCAGACCACCTTCTGAAAGAAGGAGCTCCTAAAGTCCCAAGTGATAGGCGTTTGGCGATAGACTTAGCTGCTTTGCGCCAGTCTCTCAACTGGGAGAAGCGCGGAGGGGAGATACCTCTCCACTGGATGCCCACCACTTCCCAACTTGCCGACATCCTGACTAAACCTCTGAATCCTGAGAAGTGGTGGGAATTTTTGCGTGGAGCTTTAAGACTCCCTTTTTATGTTTCCCGGGAAGGATCGGGAAAGTAGAACCAGTGTGAAGCCCTGGTTTTGCAGGTGCTACGAACGCCTACCGCAGGCGCACGAGTTCTCAAGCTTCAGAAAAGGACGTGGGCACAGGCCCCTGCCTCAGGGTTTCGGGTTAGGCGGGTTCTTGTTTTGTTGGTGGTCTCGCGCTGTGTGGTTCTTGTGCTGTACTGCTGTCGTGGTTTTACACTAACCCAACAAAACCCTAAACCCCAAAGCCTAAGCCCTAAACCCTAAAACCTATTGTTCTACACCATTTCGGAATTCGGACACTCCCGCTCTGACTACAGGCCGCCGGGGGAGGGGGAGGGGGATGTGGATGATGGCACTGTGGGGGTTGAACTTCTGAGGCGGGGTGATGACCCCCCTAAACCCTAAACCCCTAAACCCCTGCTTTAGGGTTTAGGGTTTAGGGTACTCCCCTAACCCAGAGGGTCCAAGTACCCAATAATTAGGTACCTGGGTTTTGGGGAATAGTAATTATAGTCCAGGTTTTGGGTGAGTATGTCATTAGTAGGTACTTGGACCCTTAGGGTAAACCCTAAACCCCCAAACCCCTAAACCCCGAAAACCAGTGATGACAACAAGGGCTTCGGGATCGGGATTTCAGGGTTAGGGGTTTTAGTATTTTGGGACTCAGCTTTGAAGTTTCAGGGGTTTACGTAGGTCTTAGGTGTTGTAAGTTTGTTTTACTATGTTGCTGCAGCAACCCTGTGGTGGAGGAGGCTTACTTGTGTTGCAAAACGGGAAGGGATAGAAACTATTTCTCCAGTGCCTCTTCACATCCCGAATCAATCTAGAAACTTCAGGGCTACATCAAGAAATGGTCACCCACTTCTGTATACAGCAAGCAGCAGTCGCGGCGCAGTCTGCTGGAGCCTCCGGATCCCGACCGAGTCAGGAATGATCACATGCCTCGCTTGGGATAAGGGTGTAAGGGTTTGGGGTTTCAGGGGTTCAGGTTTCAAGGGTTTAGGGTTTAAGGGTTTCAAGGGTTCAAGGGTTTAAGGGTCTAAGGATTTAAGGGTTCAAGGCTGAAGGGTTGCTAGGGTTTGAGGGTTTAGGGTTCAGGGGTTTGGGGTTTAAGGGTTTAGGGTTCAAAGGTTTAGGGTTCAAGGGTTTGGGGTTTTAGGGTTCAGGGTTGAAGGCTTAGGGCTTAAGGGTTCAGGGTTCAAGGGTTTAGGGTTCAAAGATTTGGGGTGTAAGGGTTTAGGGTTCAAGGGTTTACGGTTCAAGGATTTAGGGTTTAGGGTTTAGGGTTTAGGGTTCAATGGTTTGGGGTTCAAAGGTTTACGGTTCAAGGGTTTAGGGTTCAAGGGCTTAGGGGTTGAGGGTTTAAGCTTTTAAGAGTTTACGGTTTTCTGGTTTTACCCCTAGCCCCTAAATAACCCCCTAAACCCTGGACCCTTTACATACTTACTGTTGGGATTTGGGCAGGGCTTGGGTTTGATTCAGGGTTCAGGGCTTCACCTAGGAAAGGTTCTGTAAGTATGTACGCGTCAGCATTCACGGGCCACCCCGCCTCCGCCCCTCTCTCCCAATAGTCCATGATGTCCATGAATGTGATTAACCTAGCCCACCCCCCGTGGTCCTGTGGTCTGGGTTTGGTGGTTGTATTGAGAGGTTTAGATTAAAATTATAGAAGCTTATAATGTTTATGGAGGGGTTCTGTAAGATGTAGAGAAGGTTTGCAGAGGTTCATTAATTTAATTGCAGGTGTTTAGAGGTCTCAAGAGATTTGCTGAAGGGGTTTCTAGAAGGCTTCTGAAGGTTTGATAGAGTTTTATACACGTCTTATAGAGATAGATTGCTTGTATTTTCCGGTTTTACTACGTTTGTACAAAAGGTTTACAGGGGGTTACATATACCCTTTATAGACGGTTTGCAACAGGTTAAAGAGTTTTCTGGAGGGTTCGTGGAGGGTTATGAAGGTTTCATAGAGTCTTTAGCGGAAGCTTATGAAGGTACCCCCCCCCTTTGGTCCTGCGGTCTGGGTCCTGTGGTGACGGTTTATAGAGGGTTTGAAAGAAGGGTTTAGAGAGGCTTAACGGAGAGTTCACGGTTCTGGGAGTTTATAGATATTGCTTATTCCCAGATGGGGACCATACCATTGGGGGGAGGCTGAGAACTCGGAGCGCGGACGCATGTAGGGATTGAAGAGACATTTAGGCCAAGCCTGACACAGTGAAGCAGATGCGGTTCAGAGTTTACAGTTCAGGACTTAGGGTTTAGGGCTAGTGCCTCCCCCAAACAAACATGCAAGCTGATATAGCCCTCTCTTCAAAATCAGCAATGCTCTTAACAGTCTGACAGTTTGGCGGGACCTTTCGGACCCCAAACCTCAAACCGTCCTAAACCTAAACCCTAAACCGCGTGGAGGGGTGTAAAACTTTCGAAATCTGGCTGAGGTGCCCCTTGGCGGCCGCCAACTCCCCTTCAAGCCTCATGGGATGGGTTTAGTGTTTAGGGTTGGGGCATATGATGTGGGACCCAATGGGGCTCCGATAGAGGCACTTTGGATTCAAATCATCTACCCTTTAGGGAGTTGAACCCTTAGGGTAAAGGCCACTCAAAGTAGGAGTGCCCTTCAAGGAAATATGAAGATTACAAGGAGAATGCAAGGGTGCCCCTCAACAAATTACACAGCTGCTAATCTGAATCTGGACGTTTAGGGTTTAGGCTTTAGGGGGCAAGTACCCAAGAATTAGGGACTTGGGCTTGGTTAATAGTAATTATAGTACAGGTTTGGGTAAGTATTAATATGATTACTAGGTACTTGGACCCTTACGGGAATATTTGGGGTTTCCAGATGTAGGAGAACCCCAACATAGACCCCAAGACACTATAATCTTTATCATATGGACCCCCAGAAATTAGATCCCGAGTTTTCAGAGATTCCAATCCCGATAAAGCCATGGTCTCCATTCAATTGTCAACTTCCATTTCCATCTGAGTCTCCAGTGTTGAAATCATATGTCTCTCAACCCTAGGCCCTGAATACATGAAAAAGCGTTACGTCCACCCTTCGAATTCCCATGCTCTCCCATGTTGACAGTACTCGCAACCCTAAAGTCAAAGACCTGGATGTGGGTTTCCGGTTTAGGCCATTTTGGGAGTCCTCACATTAGCATCTAAGCTGCTTGAATTTGTTTTGGTCCCCATTGTGGAAACACCAAGTCCTAAGCCCTCTAAGGACTTCCTTTAGCCCCGGTTACCTACAGCTTAGTAGAATTTACCCCTTCAATTAGCAGGTATAACCCGTAAAGCTACAGACAGTTGGGGTTACATATTGAGTATGTCGTGCTTAAAACCACTTTAATACTACTTGTACCTTTGTTGGCCTGAGCCTGGCGCTGCCTTTTTTAAATGTTCCTGACCTCAACCCTAGACCCCAAACTGCGCAAAACCAGGAGTCCTCCTAACAAGTGTAGGGACTGTCGTACAATGTGCTCCCTCCTCTGGCGAAGAAAATTCCCATTCTGCTGTTGCCTTCACCAAGGAAATAATGGAAACCGGAGCTGTCCACATCATCCAAGGACTGAAAATTTCTTCCCGATAACTCTTAACCGCGACGTCTTGAACACTGAAAAACTCAGCACATCGGCGAGTGTTGGTATATTCTTACTATTATTAGCAGTATTCTTACTACTACTTGTATCATTACTATTACTTGTACCATTTTCTTATTAGTATCATTATTTGTTTGGACCTTGCATCCTGCACCGTTAGGTCGCTGTCATAGGGTTGGGTACAGACGTCCACTGCTTTTCTTGCCCCCCTCAAGTTTCCGATTTAGTAAGTTTAGTTAGGGGTGATTGAAGCTTAAACCCTAAGCACTATAGACCCTAAACCCTAAACTCTATCAACCCTAAATCCTATAAACCCTAAACCCGAAACCCGATAAAACCCTATAGACCCTATACACCCAAACCCCTAAACATGAGCCTCAACATACCAACAGAGGAGCTCTGACCCCTGCAACAGTTGCTCGAACGCTACCAAAACACGTATGGGTGGTTGTCAAAATTATGGGGAGAGGGAGGGACGGGGAGCGGTTAGGGTTTTGGGGTTTAGGGTGAGGGGTTGTCCTTTTTGGGGTACCCTAAATATTAGGTGCCGTATTATAAGAGCGATCCAGAAAAAGGACCATACTTTCGACAACCACCCATATTGTTTTAAGATGTTTACTGTTTCCCTAAGGGTCCAAGTACCTAATAATCATATACTTACCCAAAACCTGTGATATATCTACTATTACCCAAAACCCAAGTACCTAATCATTGGGTACTTGGACCTTCCGGGTTTACTGTATTCAAGCATTTGCAAAGCATATCAAGGTTTCCAAACATTGGCGGGTACCTTTTTTTGCAGGACGGGCGCGGGGATGGTACTCGATTTTGGGGGTGTATACTGCATTAACCCCTATAGATTTTTTCAGCAGCGAACCAACCCTAAACCTAAACCCTTAACCTGCAAGAATTTCGGGGCTCATGCCCTGTTAGCATCCCTGGGTACCCCTCGGGGTTTGGGGCTTAGGGCCCTAAACCCAAAACTTCTGGATGGCTAGATGCTATGCTACGTAGTCCATGTGGGCCTCATAGTCCCTCAACCCTAAACCCTAACGGCACGGGTTCATGGGTTCAGGGGTTCAACTCCAAATCTTGGACTGCTAAAACCAAAGCCCTAAACCCTAAACTCCATGCAGACCCTAAACCCTCAATGCAGAGCTTGGCAGCGCTCCCATTACGCGAGTCATCTGTGGCACCCCTCGAAATCCAGCACGCCATGCCCGCTTGCCTTTACTGTCTAAGGGTTAGGGTGTAGTGGACCCAGGGACTACATAGTGACTGTATGGAGGTCATTTAGGGACGATGAACAGTTTAGGGGGAGGCACCTACCATAAAAGAGCATCAAAGTGAACAGAAAATGGAAAATTATGTTAAACTGTGCCTATATAATTACATAAAACAACATAATACCATCAGATATCACCTTCTTCCTGGGGTGAAGGGTGTAACGGGATACGGCCGGGGGCATACCGGGGAGACTATGTAACAGCAATCGGCCCAGGCGGAACGGGAACGGGAACCGAG